GGAAAGGAAAGGAAAGGAAAGGAAAGGAAAGGAAAGGAAAGGAAAGGAAAGGAAAAGGAGAGAGTTGAAATGAACTTTAAAGTTCACATTTGAGGATAACAGTTCTTTAAAACATTACTTACCTACTGGAGACATTTCAGGGACACTGGCAATGTAAGGCCCATCAAGGAATTTTGGTTCATTATCATTAATGTCCTGCACTTTGATGATGAACTCTGATTCCGGCTCCAATGGCTTCCTTGTTTCAATATCTACTGCTTGAGCACGTAGGGTATAGAAAGGCTTCTCTTCACGATCAAGGCTCTTTATGGCATGAATGTCCCCTGTAGTTTCATCAATGGTAAATACTGTACCAGCTCCATCTCCTGATAATGTATACTTAACACTTCCCACTCCCTTGTCCAAGTCAGAATGAAGCTTAACAGCAGAAAAAGAGAAGGGCAAAATAATTAATAGAACAATTCATGGATGGAAGAATAGCAATTTTTAACTAAATTAGTGTGTGTGTGTGTGTGTGTGTGTGAGTGTATTAATAAAGACATGTGTATTTGGATCACAAGTGTATTGCCCCTCTGTTTATAAATCATCACAACTAATAGTATTTAAAACCTTATAATTTATATATTCATTAATATGACTTTGCAGGGCAAAATGTGGCAGTTCTGGAAACGTTGCCAAGAATATATTTCCTTTGTTCATATTTCATGAAGAAGAGTTGCATGAGACTCAATTTGAAGTTAAAGATATGTGCGTGTACAGGACAGTCAAATTAATAACATTTCCATTATTTGATTTCAAACAGCCTCATGCGTTTCCTTCAACAAGAAATTCATGAGTGTCAGGAGCACATTGCTAATATGCAGAAGTGCAGTTGTACTTCCTGCATTGACTCATAAGCATTCTTAACAGTCTAAACTGCTCTTCATTTTATTCCAAAGCAGGTTTTTAAATCTGGACTTCTTTTCATAATTCCAATATTCTGATAATGATAAAATGGTGGCTTTAATTTACAGAGATTTGTGTCTTTCCTGCTCTTTGCAAGGCTTTGGGTTGTACTTTTACAGTTACGATGGAAAAATGGTTGGGTAAGGATGGCAGTGACTTCAGTGCCATCTCAGGAAGCTTCTGGGTTTTGCCATTGATGTTCTGCTGCAGATTTGCAGTAGATCAACCTCTTAAATTATCACTGAAAACTGTAAATCCAGTCTCAGTGGTTTTCACAGCTTTTGATATATCAGGTTGAATGCATTTCAGCAGCCATGGATCATGGCCCAATATATTTCCAGGTTTTGGGGTCTGCCAAAGATTGTAGAAATATTGATTGGGACTGTCAAATCCATCACACAGGATTTCTGTTCATCTGTTTTACCTTGCATTCCAGTGGCACTGAAGATAAAGTGCTACATGCTAGATAACAAAGGAAGCTTCCAGGTCGGGTTTTTTTGTGCAGTCACCATATTTCATTCACAGAATTTTAGTGTGAGCAGGTGAAAACATAATTATCTTTCATTTGCAATCCTCTCATATTTTCTCACACTTTTAAAAATCTTTCTCTCTCTCTCTCTCTCTCTCTCTCTCCCTCCCTCCCTCTCTATCAATCTATCACAGAAAATCTAATCAGGAGAAGATAAAGTAGGTACACTGGTACCAGCTTTTGACTGGTAGTGCTAGACAGTAACCATTTGGAAATACTTAAACCATAGATAAGCCAGGTCATGATGCGTATTTGGAAGCAGTCTTCAATATAAACATTTCCTATTTATTTATTTATTTGTTGGTTGGTTTGTTTTAAAACATACACTCTGCCTTTTCAACCAGTGATTTCCAGGATAGTTTACAGTGATTTAAAACAATGCATAAAAATTAAGTAGTCTGGGTAAGAATCACATGTTGTGGATGTGAATGATGAGAGATACTGCTTTGATTTTTCTGCATGGAATTTGGTTCCTGCAACAGCAGCCTTGACTGAATTGCCTTGTAGAGAAGGTTAAATACAGTTGAGTCTTACTTTCAAACCAGTAATCAGTGTTTGTAAATGGTAACTGGTGTTATCAGATAATGCATGAACCATTTGATCAGTAATAAATGATTGAATACACTATATATAGTACTGAATCAGACTTTACTTATTTTTTACCTTTATGGTATTTATTGTTACTACTTATAGGTGAATTCTACAGTGATTTCGCTCTATCTAGTATAGAACAATCATGTATAGGATCTAATAAAATACTTTATAAATGTATCCATTTTATTACATGTAGATAACAATGTAGCTCCTCTCCTGTTATATAAAAATGTGTTTGTTATAGGGCGGGAGTGGGACTGGGGGTTAATGAAAAGATAACACTGCATAGAAATTATCTATTCTTCTATAAATTTTCTGCACATAATTTAACTAATTCAAAGAATCCAGCTGTCTTACAGTTTGGAGGAATATTTTTAAAGCTAAAATAAATTAGAACATGTACAAATAAATGCTTTAAAAATATGACTGTGGTGGGTTAAAATGAAACCTTTTCTTTAAAAGTGTTTTGTAAGTGGGACATAATGAAAAGTAGAGTTTAAATGTATCTCTGGCTTAAATTGATTTTTTTTCTACCATCCTATTTATCCCCTCCTTGAAATCTCTTATAGTAAGATCTATATGGAACTAGTCCTATGAAAATAGCCAAGACAGATTCAATAATTCTACTATCAACACAGATGTGACAAAATCTTGAAGGTCAAGCAAAGTGGCAGTGGTTTGAATGGTCCTGAACTATTCAAAGAGCCATTTGCCCCTCTGAATCTTACTGTTCATAAATAGATAAAAATGATCAACTGGCTATATTTTAAGGTTATGTTTAGCATATGCATGCGTTAAACTATATTAAATAGGATGGTACTGCTTTTTGGATCTTCCTCCAAAATTAAAGTGCTGGAAGATAAACTCTGTATGTGTGTGTGTGTGTGTGCATGGCCGCACATATGCAGGCAGGTACATATATGTATGCATTTTCACATATCCAAGTAATATAATAAAGTCTAATATAGCAATGCTTGAAAACGCTGTACTGAAATGCTGGAGGACTGTCAGAGAAGCCGAAGTTTTATGGAAGGAATAGCAAAGCCAGAGGCAAGACAGTTTAAATCACTGCCCTTTTTCTGAATGTGCTTCATGACATCATCATGGTTTTGTAGCATATTGTGCTTACCATGTGCGTTTTATCACATCATCCCAATATGTAATCCCAACTGGCCTGGATCACTTAGCCAGCTTGAAAAACTCCTGCAATATATAAAATGGTACCAAATGGTACCAAAAGAAAAAAAAGAAAAAAAAAGAACCCAAAAACCTGCCAGTCAGGTGATGAATAATATGCTACAAAAGGAGGGAAGGGAACACACCACACATGCACACACAATGCAAAGCACTATTTACTCAGCTGCAAAATACTAGCGGATTCTACATTACTTGATCTTTCAGCATTTAAAGACTGGCAGCTGAACATGCAAATCAAGTATTGTCACTATTAGCATTTTTAAAATCTTGTATTTCCACTGAATAGCTTAGCTCTGCAAATGTCACCTTCATTTTGATTGTCACAGTAATGCTCAGAATTAAGATTACTGCATGAGCTTCTTAAGTGGAAATTTGAACCCAGAGCTCCTATTCCTGTTCTTCCTTCCTTCCTTCCTTCCTTCCTTCCTTCCTTCCTTCCTTCCTTCCTTCCTTCCTTCCTTCCTTCCTT